TGGCTTGAGCATGGGTTGACGACGAAAACTAGTAGAAATAATAGCAACGGACATGCACAACGGGTTTTATGTATCATTGTCATTGATAAATGTATGGCATTGTTGTATATTGTCTTTTTCTAAAGTGAATGATACAGAATTTATTCCATTTGACGATGGTGTGTACAGAGATACGCCCCCCCCCCCAACTCAACTGTATAAAATATTTTTGCGACAACCCCTCTACTCTTCAAAGTGAAAAAAAAACAACACCCGGACAACCCCTTTCTAAAGTAGACTGTCCCGTTTGTTATTACGATTATGAAGAGTTACATCGCCCCCTTCTGCCTGTAATATCCAAGCTTTTCTGAAGAGAAAGGTTACGGTAATAGTTCAGGGTGAATATAGGGCGGCCTTGTAATAAAAACGGATTGTTGTATGACTTTCGTGGAAAGCCAGATTAGTGGCGACCTGCTGACGCTGAGCGTATGTCACCGACACCGAGTACGTGAAGTACGGACAGCGGCATTTCACAGAGAAATTGTGGGGAATGCAGGGAGTGAGGGTGGAGTAATTCTGTTTCTGGATCGCAAGGTTGTGGGTTTGAATCTAACAGTACTAGAGAGGCTGGTTTTCTTTTAGGATGAAGTTTTTATCTTCAAGTTAGAAGCACACTCCGTGTCGGTGGATCGTGGCCGCATCTGGGCAATAATAAAGCATTGAGGTCAATCGAGTTAGTTCTGAAAGGCAGCTGCAACTTACCCCTTCAGTCTTCAGCTATTGCAATAATAAAGGGCGCAGTGTCCCCCATTAACACACACACACACAAACACCCTCACACACACACACACACACATACCGCAAATATTACACAGGACATGATTGAAAAGCTGTTTGTGCACTAGACCTTGGGCGCCCGCTTCACATAAGATACGTATATATATATTTTTTTAACAAATCTACATGGATAGCTGTAAGAACATACTTACGTAAATCATCACATATGAGATTACGTTATAATTTGCTTCTTGCCAAAATAATTACTTCCTATCTAAGGGCTCTTTTATTCTTTCGATTTAGCTCCTAGTGCACAACGCTTAAAGATGTGCTTGCCAACGGATGTCTATGAGAAAAGGTCAAGTTGTACCTAAAGGGAAGACAATGATGTCAGCAAAAGGAAGAATGTTACTGTGCATATATTTTTATGACAATCTACTGTTACTACCTTATGCGAAATTTTTTAACAGCCCCAAATATGACCGAATTTCCCGTACTGTGACAAAATTACTATTAATTTTGCCCGGTAATACCATGTCATCATTACTAATAATCTTACCCGTTCAGCATGGTCGCCCTTTCCGCATCCATGATAAATGCGTTTTGCTTCTGCAGTTTATTGAATCATTAAAACCGTGATCATCACTAATTATCAAGTCTGCTTTCAATCATTAGACATCGCCTGAATTTTCAAGCGATCGATGTTGATGCGTATGAATATTCATTAAAGTTGACAGCCCGAAAATTGCCGCTACGTGTTTTTGTCGCCAAATGTCGCCAAGCGAGAGAGAAATCACGACCGAATGACACCTGGAAAAATTCAATACTTTGGGTTTTAAACGCTTAGGCTCCCCTTACGAAGTCGCGTTGGTTGCGACGCTGTAAAATCGTGGTTCCTAATTATTAAGACAAAACCCCTAAAGGCTATAATCATTTGTCTTCTTCAAGGCGTTCGCCTATTTCCTGCCGCCACACTAGGACCCTGGAGGCCCGCCATTTAATCAAACATACCGTATCCTGACAGAAAGCTCTCGGCGGGAAAGGGAACTGGCAGGATGATACTGACAGGAGGCGCATCTTCCTGTCATGTCTGTGTCTTCGCTAGGAGAGACTGGAATAGAATTCACTTTTATGTGTACTAAGACGGACTCGTGCCAAATTTTAAAGGGCGTAAAGAAGGTTTATGAAAATGCGTTTTAAGGTATGTTTTGCTACTTGTATACGTGTGCTTCTTAAGTTTTTTTGTCTTATCATTCTGTCCGCCTGTACTGTCCGTCCTTCTGTTTGTCAACCTGTCTGTCTTCTTCCATTACTGTGCGTGTCTCTGTGAATGTGTGTGTGAGTGAGTGAGTGAGTGAGTGAGTGAGTGTGTGAGTGAGTGTGTGAGTGAGTGAGTGTGTGTGTGTGTGTGAGTGAGTGAGTGAGTGAGTGAGTGTGTGAGTGAGTGTGCGAGTGAGTGTGTGTGTGAGTGAGTGAGTGAGTGAGTGAGTGTGTGTGTGTGTGTGAGTGAGTGTGTGAGTGAGTGAGTGTGTGTGTGAGTGAGTGAGTGAGTGAGTGTGTGTGTGTGTGTGTGTGTGTGTGTGTGAGTGAGTGAGTGAGTGAGTGAGTGAGTGAGTGAGTGTGTGTGTGTGTGTGTGTGTGTGTGTGTGTGTGTGTGTGTGTGTGTGTGTGTGTGTGAGTGAGTGTGTGCGTTCGCGCCAGTGTGCGAGTGTATGCCAGTGTGCGCACGTTATTTGTAACACACTCATCCTCGCCAAACAACCTCCCGACTGTCGGAGGTCGTGATATAAATGGCATTATGGGTAGGAGTTCAAGTCTGTTATCTCTGGTTACTTATTTACAATTAAAATGGGTCGAGGAAGACAGAAACAAAGTCAATTCAAGTGTACCACTGCAGTCAAGTCGACCACAAATATTTCGAGACTATCGATAGTCTGTGTGTTCCTGTGGACTTCCATACTTGTGTGCGCTTCTCCCTCAACTCAAAAAGTACATAAATTCTTTTCACATTCTTTTTACACTGTGTAGAAAATATGACAGCAGTTATTTAACTCATTTTCATTACATTTTACGAGTTTCGCACGATAAAAATGATGATTGTTTTATAACTTTATTGTTGTGGATGGTGGTTTTGCCTAGTACCCATAAAATGTACTTTTACTATCTTAATTGCGTTGTATAAGCTTTGTGGTTAGTCTAAGTAGCGCTGGGAAAAACTTCTTTATATAATGATATGTAGAACGCAATTTGAATGGAAGACATTTGCTATTTGCTTGACCGATTATCGGTTCTTTGGTAAACCCAAAATCATATCGATAGGTACATCAATGTTACGACATTCACGTTCCATTCTTTTATTAATTGAAGATTTAAAAATTCATAGATTCCCCCCACCATAACTGAGTTAATACTTAAGAAGGATTTGTGGCTAAAATAGCGTACTTGTCTTTTATTCTATGAAATCCGAAAGGTCAAATTGTGGGAGGATCGTGGTGTGGTAGTCATTTTCATTTTTCTCACTATCTCAGGCGATGTATTTCTGCATTAAATTATGTATATTAATTAGGAAAGAGTTGGCGTTGTTATAATTCACAAGGGCGTCCGCCAGTTTGAATATTCATAGCGTTAAATCATAACATTCGGCGGAGTGGCGCGGTTGTTTTGGCTACGACTTTAATATCATTACGTGTCCCGTGTGACGGTACAGGGTCTACCAGCACCACCTCTGCGGAGCTCCGACATCTCGCCAGCTGGCTGGACGGTTTTTTGTTGTCCCCGGAGACGCGGTATCTCGTCCTCGGTCATCATTTCACATCAAACCGCACCCGAAATAAAACTGTTACGACTAAATAATTGAAATGTCCATCTATGAGAGACGACACAAACATGTATACCGTACGACAGGCTTTTTTTCTCTTTCCCAAATTAATAATGGATGCCAGTCCTTTACAACATTAACAGTGTCCGCGGAGGGAGGGAAAGTCCTTGTCCTCTCGGTCCAGTGGGTGCATGTATAATCGCGGGTTCATTACATGTGCACAGGTCCCGCGCTGCGACATCGATCCCTGATTTCAGGGGCTCATGCACAAAAGGGCCAAGGGGAGCTACAAATAAGGTCAGGCAATTGGAAACAACGGAGCACATTTCGTTATAATTTGGCTCGCGCGGGGCAGATGGCAGAGTGATACACTCAGATATCCATCTCGCCGGTGTATTGGTTTCCATAAAGCCCCTACAACCTGGCGGTTCGTTTTACCAGGAATATCGCGCAGATCAATCTATAAAAGGGTGGAAAATCGGCGACTGTTTCAAAGATGGGAAATGGGAGGGAATTTAGAGCAAATTAATTCGCTGCAGGAAGAGGGGGCTTGTACGTCTTCCTTTGTATAGATTTACCAGCCATTACGAGGCCCGTAGGCTATTACATGCATTAAGCTGACATGTATGCGAGCCCCTCTAGGCAAAACCACTCCCAGCGCAATCTGTCGCCTAAAAGTCACGTATCCCGATGGCATTTCCGACAGAAACTAACCCCCCTCCCCCCTTCCTAACCACAGACAGATATTTGATAAGGTAGATGGAAACTGGGGTGTATCGTCGTCCACGTGAGGGGCGCTGGTATGATATCCCGTGTCAGGATAGACGCACAGTTTCCGACATGTCTCTCTCCAGTCGGGATATGTATCTGTGTGTGCAGTTAGATTGATCAACCGCGGGTAGTTTTGAGGTGGTGGCTATTGATTTGGCTGGTGCAGTCGGCCGGCTGCCGCTACCCTGCCAGAAACAAGTCGATAAAGGGACCTTGTTGCACGTTTCGCCTTTGGTTTTTAATTACTGCACAATTTCTGTAGATTTATAGGATTTGGAAAAACAGGCACAACGGTGCAATATCGGTAACAGCGTTAGTGTGATGACTCGAGCGAACTGATTGCACTGCTGGGCACGAGAGCGGGGGTGGGTTCGGCTGAGTGTACTGGGGACGTGACCGGAGGGTGACCGGGCCGCGCGCGGGTGAAACAACACCAAGTCCCGCAGAAAATTGAGTAATCTACCGCTGTTGTCACCCTTGCTGCCGTTTGACCGGGAGTGCTGAGTACCAGTTGGCCATCTTCCATATATAAAAATCTACTAAGACATATATAGTGAAGAGTTCTGTAAATGAAGTACGATATATACGTGTAACGCTTGATGAACATAGTCAGATTCAGTGTATGTTCCTTTTTTATCAGAATTTTATTAATAATAATATCATCTGATCATGTCAAAAAGTATTGCGATTTCACACAGAACAACACATTCCACAACAAATATCACGACAACATTCAATGATATATTATATAAAGCTTCATTTCTTTGGCTCCACTCGCACCCATAGCCTCGACACAACATTACGACGTGGCTAGACTGTACAGCATATTATCTTTCATTTTCACTCTGTACAGCGAAGCTTTAGAAGTCTGTAGATCAAGGCTACTACTGTGGAGAGATATGGCATTTGGTTGTCTCTTAGGCTTTTCTTTCAAGAAAATTGTCTTTCATACTAAAAGAGTAATGAAATGAAAACATCCTGTCTACGCCTAGAAGCATGACCTAAAATTGCTAATCGTCAGCAATCATTGTCGGAGCAATTCTTGTTTGTTTCATCATTGTCACTTGCTTTTTCAACAACACATCTTAAAACAGACGATTTTTTTCATCTAAAGGACGCAGTCAATGCGTGCATGGGGTATTTCTTTGGACATCGCGGCCTCTTGGCCAACTTGACTACATTGATGTACTAAGTCTCAAAATATACTTGCAAACATATGATTGTAAGCACATGGAAACTTGGCGCCTCTACCCAGGAATTGACGATATATATTACAGAGTCTAGCGTTGTCATTGTTTTAAGTTACGGACACAGAATAAATATAATATGTATTTACAGAGAATGTGTCCCTCAGTATCTCACTCATAAAAATAGCCGTACTCATCATTGGCAACTTACGGAGGTCTGGCGGTTTGGCGTGATATTTGGAGACAGTTGGGCTTGCCTGGAGTTTTCCTTCGTACGCACAGCGCAGTCTGGGGCTGGGCAAGTCTTTCTATACACCTCTCTGTACCGAGTCTTTCACACGTCCAATACATGGTTGAGGTAGGATATATAACAGATAGCTAGCCGGAGGATTTCTATTTTGGAGAGTTTTTTGTCTGGGGGAAGGGTGGGGAGGAGTTTTCGGAGCTCGGCAAAGGCGACGTTGAAGGCTTCGACTCTGATGCGCTCTCTCGTGGCGTGCGCCGTGCGGTACTTGGCGGTCGCTCTCCGCCGCCGCCGCCGCTCCTCTCGACTCAAGCCCTGCAGAGACGGGTCCTTGTTTCTCCTGGCGGCGGTGTCCTCCGCTTCCCTCGCCGACTCTTCGGTGGGTCTGACGGGGAACGAGGAGCCGTTCAAATCCGTCACCTCGAAGGACTTGTGCACGGCGTCGACGGAGCTGCAGCTGGAGGTAGGGCTGGTGGAGCCGCAGCTTCTCGGCGAGCCCTGCGCGATGGTCGTCTCTCCCGTCACCACCATCCCCGGCGGCTGGGTTTGCGTGGAGGTGCGCTGTAGAGTGTCCAACATCGGGACGGTCGGGACGTACAGCTCTCCTAGTGTCCCATGCACCTGGTTCACCCTGGCAACACACCACAAACAACACCTGTCAATGCTAATGCAACCCTCCAGAGAGCTCACCACAGCAGATTGCATAGGACAGTAGCAAGAACAATAGGCGAGAGTGAAAATCAAAACACGGCCAGACCATTCAGTGGGGAATACCCCTAACAAATATTCGCGACGCTATTACAACCCTAACTTGATTTAGTTCTCATATTTCAACAGCTGTAGGGAGAGAAGTCGTGCTACATGAATTCTGATTGGAGGGACCGGGATTGGATTTCTTTTTAATAAACAAACACAAAAAGTCTCAGACTGTGATTGTTTACCGAACACGTGCCGGGAGTGGTTTGTTGAGTGTTGCACGAACAAGCACTCCTCGCACCCACCGTGTGTTTTGCGGTATCGTCCAAAAAACCTGCGCCTGCTTACCATCACACAACAGTTCCACAAATCCAAACAGTAACAGGTGAAACTGAGAAAAGAAACAGTCGCGGATCCAACGTTTCCACGATAAGAAGACGAAGACGTTCCTCGTTTATCACGATCGCTTTCCAAACCGACCATCAATAATTAAAGGGCTAGCACATTATACACTACCATCTGACATCCCCTTCTGTACACGGGACGGGGTTACCCCGACGTTTCCCCACGCACAAATTACACGTTCTTTTGACAAGGACTGCCTGTCGATTTCGTCTTGTGTTCCCAGGAAAACTGGAAATCGAAACTTATTTTACTCCCTTGGAAGTGGAAAGGCCACAGTTAGCAAGCCCGCCCGGGGTCCCAATCGATGCTGTGGTACAGTCAGGAATGACCCTCCTTCATGTCTGAAGCGATGTTTTATAGCTTATACCTCGTGGCTAGTGTGTCTACGACAAAATATACCCGTGTAGCACACGTTGGTTTGTAGCCAGAAGGGTTATCTGTGACCGTACTCATCTACGCTGACTTTGCTGTAGTATCGAGGCGTGACAAATTTCGACTTTGTCCTGAACGTCCTCTGTGGTGGTGTTATTTTCTGGTGTAAGGTTGACTGAGTGAAGAGATAGATTGCTATAGGTGAAACTGTGGCCTACTGGTTTCTATCCGTCCATATATACGATATGTGATTTTTAAACACCTGCTGTAATACAAAATGTCCCATACGACAATTATGATCCATTTCTGTCTCATATTACACTCAATACTGTACTAAACATAGACGCGTTACATCGCATGCAACACACACGCAAAGCCGGCTATACTACAGTCCAAATCCCCAAATTTGTTGCGAAAATTATCGCAAGCTCCTTATCCAACCTGGGCTTAAAAACACCAGGCTTTACAAAAAAAAAACGATCTAGGAAATTAGAGAAAATCCGCTTACCGTGAATACGGCGAGGTAGAAACCTCAGTGGTAGGAAGGACCAATATATCCAGCTTGGGTCGCGGTAAGCCGATGCCAGGCCGGTTGATGGAGTGGAGAAGGTTGTACGTACGAGGTTAGAACCGTGTACCGTGTGTGTGCCGAGACCTTCTCTCTCCCCTCTCTCGTGGACAAGTCAACCTTCCTCTGTGAGGTCCTCACTGGGAATGACTGGACCTCTGGCGGCTACTCCGGCCTTTATGAAGAGCTCTAGAACAAAAGGCGGGGAGGACACTAATTGTTTGTGTTCACAACTTCTCTCATATCGCGATGCGCAGGGAGGAGGAGGAGGGGAGAGAGGGCGCCAGCCAGTCACGCCGCGCTCTGATTGGCTGACGGCACACGAGCAAATCGTCCTTCAACCATTTTAATTCGCCCTGCTGCCGGGCCCCAAGGGGAGAACGTCGGCCCGGGAACACGCATTCGGTCACAGCCAGGGTTACTACATGGAATCTTAATTCAGTTTTTAATACCTAAAATTGAGCTGATAAACAACGTTTTCCTCAGAATTTGTCCCATATCGCCAATTTCCTTCATGTCAGACGAGGTAACTGAAATGACAAGGCTTCTGGTCAACCAAGAACCGAAATTGGCGCTAAACCTGGCGACAGAATGCACAGCCCGGTACGACTCGTATGCAGGTTCCCGGCCCGGGACAAAGTGAGGTCCGTATGTACAAGCCTATCTTCGCTTCTCCCTGGTTGTGGGGATTAATACATTATAACAGCCAACTACACACCGGGGCTACCGAGTAATTATCCTTCCGGTGATTTATGTCCCTCACGGGAGATCCCGGGGTCTGTTACACTTACAGAAGGATAAAATCAGGACTCCATACTCCATACACTCTCTAGAACCGGTAAAAGTGGCAGATTTTCCAGCACAAATAGATATAAACCTAAAATCATTACGGCAGCGCAACTACTACGGAACGGAAATATATCGCTTTCATTCCAGCTTGTGAGAGAAATTTGTCATCATTTTCTGGCGTGCTGGTCAGAGCGATATCGGCACCGGAGCGACCGTAGAAATGATCGGGCTGATTTTGAATATTTTCCACCCTCTTAAAAGATTGATCCAGGACTGCAGTGACAGATGCGAGGCCGTCATTGTGCAGAGCTCAGTTTTTTCTTTCTCTGAAAGCACAAACTCTCTCGTTGCCTCTAGTGCGGATAAGTAGTACCCACTTCTCTCTCGACAACATACGGAAACGTTATCTACTCATTTGGATGGTGGAGGGGTACTGCGTGTTTATGTTTACATAAGGCGTGCGTAGATGACGTCTGTGTTTACATACGGCACGTGGCTATTGTAGGGTAATCCCCGGTGAAAGTGCCGGGAGGCAAGCTCCCTAGTGACTCACAAAAATCCAGAGAAATTCGATCCGTTGAAAAAAAATCGAGTCAAACGGGGTTCTCTGTGAAATCCACTAATCGGACACGAGATTAGCAAGCCAAGGGGGCCTCCAATCAACAATAGTGGGGTAAATTCTGTTATACGGCCGGTAAATTGAATGGCGATAGCGGAGACATATTTTGAAATTGAAGAGGGCTGGGTGACACACTCAGCGGCATAACGCGAGGTCCCGAGAGACAACTGTTCGTGGAATAGAATTACAAAGGTAAAATTCCCAATACGCTTATTCTATGTGTTTAGTTTTTGGAGTGCGAATTTTGATGGCATATTGTTTCCTGGATGGTTGGAGATCGCTGACAATTCTTGGGAACAAACAGATGAAGAACTGTTTTTACGGCCTCAAAATATTCCAAATTGTAAATAAAGGTTGCAAAGTACAAGTACAAAGTTTCTGTTCTGTTCAAAGGGGCAGCCAAAAGTTTGAATCATGTGTGACTTGTGCGGATTTAACTAAAAAATAGAAGACTTAACGGAAAAATACACCTTTTAGGTGGATGATAAATATTATACTTGAGTTAAGTTCAGTTGAAACACATTTTGTATTGAATATTGGCGAAGTATGAGCACACAAGAGTTACAAAATGTATGAAATCATTCCAAGACATTTGTTCCTTATCATATTCCACGAACGTCCTTTAAATGGGCTAGGTCTGTGTGACCTCCTACTCGCAAGTCTTTGTACGATAAGTAAATTTTTTTCATTGAAACCGATTTGGCAAACTATGATTTATAAATCAGCGATACCATAACTTATACATTATCACAATATTACTTATTGTACCAGAAACAAGAAATTGTAGGAATATATCAATTTGGTAGAACGTCTAGGTCCGTGGAGAGATATCTATTTTTCCAATAACTTTTTTTGCCATGAGCGAATCCGAAGAAAGCGGGAAATTTCACAAGTGTCCTTGGAAGTCCACGACAGACAGTTTTATGTATGGTGTCCTGAAGGAAAATACTGCTTTTTCATTCAGTCTCAAAGAGTGCAGCAAGGCTTGTAACGTAATATGTTGGTTCATACAATACTGGCACTGCAACAAGGCTTAAGGGCCTGGAGCTAGCGTAATTTGTGGCCTCTTTGTCGGCAAGCAATACATATTAAATCTTTCAGTGTACGTCTTACTCTGCGATGTCGATTAATTGGCAAGCAACTCCCCTCGCCTTTCATCATTCACAGACGCCGGGACAACACAGAGAACAGTTTGGGAGCGGGTGTGTGTATCGGAGAGTTTCATCAGTACGAAACCCTTTTGACGAGTGCCGTCGACCGGCGGCGTAGGAGGGCAATAGGTTGTCCCCGCCATCTGTTCATTTCGCGCAGCGCGAAGTGAGATAATACGGCACAATATCTACCCGCACGAGAACCGTCTGCTCCCCCAGCGCACATCGGAAATTAAACCAGAAAAGAACAAAGTAGTATCCGTAGGAAGTAGCGTCCTCTCATGTAGGAAAATTGGAGGGGAATGATGAAATATGGGGACGCTGGGAGACGGATGTAAGGACGAACTGGAAGATTTATTTTGAACACTGGTTACGGGTTATTTCTTATGAATGGTGCGCTGGCCGCGGCTGCATAACATCGCTCGATCGATATCCCTCAGTTAAAAGTAGCCTCCGAAATAATGGAAAATTCGTTAAATTCCGTAAATTTCATTTTCCTGTCGGTGGACGCAGATTTATTTTCCAGAAAGCTCATTTTTCACATTTTGTGACAGGGAAGGGCGGGACAATTGCTTTCTAAACTCTCCCTTTCAAGCTGTTTGGGGCGCGTCGCACGCGTGTATGATGCACTCTCCCCTCATGTAACAACCACTCACGTCACGTCAAGCACTCTTCCTGCGACACTTCGATAAAGAGCTAGTTGACAAAGAACAGGAGTTATGTCTGGTCTATATATTATCCTGACTGAAAATAAACATGTCGGCAGCCCTGACAGCCTGTCATTGCGCGGGTCAGGGGACGTGTGGCCATCCTCGGCGGCGGGTCAGCCGCGGGTCCCGCACAACAATCCGCGGGGGGACGGCCCAACGCCGCGGTAATTAGCCGCAATTGAAAAGCCTGTCTGCTCTCGTATTGTCCGCCGGCCAGTTTGTTCCCTGTCCGGTGTCCCAACTAGCTGACCCTCAAACGTACCATTCTAAAGATGGAATAAGATTTCAATTTGGTGATATAAGACCGCAGGGTCTTCCTCGTTATCATGGGCCCAATTAGTGCGCGCCTTACAAGAAAATGAAAAGAGACATTCAAAGTACACGAATCCCTTGGTACTGTCTGTAAAGATGAGGAGAGGCAGTGTAATTTTGGAACGACCGTCTACAAGACAAAACGTCGTAGTTTGTATGAGAGTTGGGGACGTGTGCCAAGGGAATAGAGCCATGCGCGGAGATGGCTATCTGGATCAAAAGAAAACAAGTCTTCTAGTTTTAACTCTAATCATGACTTGCTTAAAAGTTTCAACACTTCCAATAAAAAATTCTCCGCCTTTCCTTAACTTGTTAGATCTTGTACGCGCACACAAATCAACGGACAGAGAAAAGTTTTATTTCAAGTACTGATGCTGAAAATTAAACTACATGTATCTACATATTCACATTGACAACTGAATAAAAATACATACAAATGATATCCCTAACGTTATAAACAACAAAAATGCTTATCTTCGACCAATAATATCTTTATGGCGTTTCTATACTGATCTTTCAAATGCTGTAACTTCTGAAGGCTTTTCCCTCTCCCGAACCAAGGCGCGGTTAGAGAGCCCCTTGTTTGAATATTGAAAGTTTATTGCAAATACTTGCCCGAAGGCTAATTGCAGTTACAAACAACATAGAAAGAAAGTACAGTGGTATGTGAGACTATATCTACTTCTAACATTATACTATATTCTACAACATGACATGAATCAGTTTTGTATCACACGTCGTCGCTAGTCCAGGTTAAGCGAGCAGCTATACGTTTTGATGTTTGCCTGGCAGTGAAAGTCGCACGGGACTTAATGGCAAGACTGTGCCTTATTCTTCATAACTATGTATGTGGGAAAGGAAAAACATGTATAAAGTACATACATTGTGTGTAATCAACATCAGTTTGAGATAGCAAAATAGTTTGAGAACCATTCGTTTTATTTGCATCACGTTTTAGGAGTAGGCTGTTAAATTTTGCCTACGATAAACAAGTATTTTTGTTTGCCTATTGATTATATTGATTCTGTTGAAAAAAAAATTACGAACAAGTTTTGTTTTTCCCACAGGGGATTTTAAATATGGCCCCCAACTGCCTGTCATAAAAGCCCCGTACGACAAGATTGACAGCACGGTTACATTTTCCCTTCGGCTTTTTAAACCGTCCCAAATACCACAGATCCCTCCAGGTGCGTTTCCCGGGGCGTCATTTCAAAGACTATCAACAGCGCGGATATCCACATACTCAGTGTCGCGTTTCACAGAGTCGCTTCCCTCGCCGTTTCCATGGCAACGGGACTCTCGGTGTCGTCTGAAATGGTTCTGACATTTACTGTTGCCCTTTCCGGCGGATTACCCGCCACTTTGCCGGGTTTAACTCTGCGGCCTAATGACTCAAGGTCTCACAAACAAAGATTTTCTGCTCAGAAAGGTCCTCCGGCGTTTTTGCTGTTTTGCTAACTCTGTTTTGCTAAGCCGCGCGGTGAGAAAATTGTGCTGTTTTTGTTTCGTCGGCATTTGGAGCTAAGGCGACTAATGCTCAAACGTATCAAGTTTGCGAAAAAAAAATTATATAAAAAAACTTAAAATACACCATATGCAGCTTGTTTTGCACATGC